ATTTTGTGCTAGTAATTCGTTTACCTCTCCATATTTGTTTTTGAAATTAAGACTAATATCTTTGCTCATATCAAAATCTTGCGAAACGCAATGCACTAAATTAAATGTTTCATCAAAGTAGTTACTATACAAATCCTGATTCACTTGTTTAATACCGAAATTAAATATAACCCCTTTGTCATTATTATATATAAAATCATCATGAGAAATATGATTGTATAATTTTTCAGTGGAATTTATATTTATTAAATCTAAATTTATATCATAACTAATTTTTGACGACTTATCAAAACCTATCTGGTGTCTTGATAAAAAATCTGCTGCTTTATTAAAAATACCTTGCTTATATATTATGTTAAATTCATATCCTATTAATTTTGTTCTTATACGATTTAATACATGTGATTCTGATTTTATTTTTTGGAGACCCACTCAATTTTTTTGGTCTGTCTAAACTGTAAATTATTAACCATATAGATACTGTCTAAAATGAGTGCATCCAAAGAACAAAGCTGACGCCTCAAGTTCTAACGCTGAATAGTTTTTTTGTGCTGGCGTCAATTTTTTCGTACCAAAAGACACCGGATGAATATTACCATCGCTATCTCTCTGCTGTAAAATTACACCTAAACCTAATAAAGACGCGTCTGTTACTAAAATAGTGTCGGCTTCTTCGTCATAATGCATTAGTACTGGTGGTGTTATTAATTTATTTTTTAGTTCATTAAAAGCGTTTTCGTGGTCTTTTCCCCACTTTATTTTATCTTTTTTTGTTTTAAAATTACCTTTTGTTAACTCTGTTAAAAGGAAAGTGATTTTACTAAAATTTGGAATGTACCGGCGAAAATAGTTTGCCAATCCCAAAAAACTACGCAACTGATTTATATTAGTCGGTGAAGCAACTTGTGTAATTGCTCTAATTCCTTCATCTGTAGGACGAATACCCTTACTATCAATTATATTTCCTAAAAATTTTAACTCTGTGTACCCAAATTTACATTTTGATAATTTTAATTTTAAATTAATTCGTTTAAATCTTTCTAATGTTAATTCTAATGAAATTAAGTGTTCGTCAAAGCTTTTCCCAAAACACGTGCAATCGTCGATATAATTTACATTAATTTTATAATTTAAATTTGTCATAATTTTATTCATAGCCTCTTGATATTTACTCGGACCGTTACAAATTCCCATTGGCATACGTTTAAATTGATACTTTCCAGTTGTAGTACAAAATGCTGTCAGTTCCCTAGCTTTTTTGCTTAATTTAAGTTGGTGGAATCCTGACATAGCGTCTAAACATGAAAAAAATTTGTTTCCTGCTAAACAGTCGTATATGCTTTGAATTACAGGAAAGGGAAAGGATTCTTTTACAGTTATATTATTTAATTTTCTGTAGTCTAATACCATTCTGTATTGTGCTATAGATTTTCTCTTTTTTGAACCCTGAGGTAAGCCTTTTGACACTAAAAAAATTGGGAACGAGTATGGCGAATTTGAAGACTCGATTATACCCGCCTTGAGCATTTCTTGCGTTGTATCTCTATTTCATCCCTTTCAAACTTACTTAGTTTAAAATTTGGGAAATTTATTGACGTGTCTTTAGTTAAATAAATTTCAATTGGTCGGTTTTTGACTCTTCTAAGTCCCATTTATTTTTTTGAAAAAAACTGATTCATATTTTTGTAACAAAAGATAATAATTTTTCTTTTTGTATTATGTTTAAATTTGGATTAATGTCAAAATGTATTTTATTATTAATTTCATCATCAGGTAATTTACGCTCGATTTTTTAAATGTAGTGTACGGCTTTGTAGCTTTGCTATTACTATTTGAATCATTTAAATCTAATGAAATGTATTTTATTTCTCGCACTTTGGTTAATGGACAATTAGCCCTCTCACGATCGTTCTCGCCTTTTTTCCACGTTTCAGGTGCATTTCCAATTGCTTCTAACATTTTTCTTTCTTGTAATAAGGCACGAGAAGTATGCAGTGAACGAAAATCGTGCATGAAAGAACGCGACTTACATTTAAATTTGGATTATTTTTATCGTAACATTCTGGTGTCCAATGAGTATTTTCAAAAAAAACTACCAGCAATTTTCTACCCGGCTTATAAAATGCTAGACCTACTATATTTTTAGAATTTTCAAAATTTGGACATATAATTAATAAATTAAAATTATAAAAATCAGATACCGCTGATAAGTCCTCGCCCTTTAGCCAGATTGGGTTTTCAAGTAAATTTAATCCCAATAAATGAGCTATTGTTTCCGCTGTTACATAAATTTCTTTATGTGCAAACATTTGCTGTCAACGCATAAATACCACAAAATCCGTCTCCAGGAACCTCAGTTAACTTACGACTACCCCTAGCAATAAGATGTAACCTCCGCTGAATAACTAATAAATTTCTCCTTTTTTCAGTTTCAATTTTATTGTCATTACTGTCAACCGTGACAATTTTATCAGTTTTTCCTTCACATTTTACTTCAGTATTATTTAAAATTGTATTGCTTTCCTTACCAAAGTTTAAAACTACTTTACTTTAATTACCAGTTAAAATTATTTGCTTATCGACAAAATTTATTTTTGCTTTATATAATTTCAAGAAGTCCGTGCCTAACAAGCTAGGTCCTACTAAATTCTCGACTATTATATATTTAAATAGAAATTCAATATTATTAAAAATTACAGTAATATTAGCAATACCAAGCAGTTTTAATTTCGAGCCGTTTGCTGTTATTAATCTTACATAATCCGTTGGTTTTTTCCTACGGGTGATAGTTTATTAAATTCTTCTTGACTTAAAATTTTGACCTCATACAATGTACACAATGTAAATTTTTTAACTAATATAGTCGAAAAAGGTATCTTTCCAAATTTAAAATTCTCAAAAAAATCCCCCAAGTCGTTCTCCTCGATTGATCCTAATAAGGTTATTCAATTTATTTTATTTATTTCTGAATTGAAATTTTCGTTTAAAAATAATATATTTTTGTTTGTTACTTTAGCAGTTTGATTATTCGTATTTCGTTTTATATAAAATTTATCGTCCATTAAAAATTATAAGTCATTAAGAGAAATTTGAAAAGACAATGACTCTACATAAGATTCACCTGACCTAATACACTAATATTACGACACAAGGGGTGTACCTCAAAATCAAAATTTTTTCAGAAAAAATTTATTTCTTAAAAATCGGAACTCCAGGGACGAGCGCCTCCACCAATTGTAACGTCCCCTCTTCACCTGAGAAGCGCTCTCGCGTCTTCTAACCTATAAAGTTATGTTTTGATTAACGAGGTCTTGGGGACTCGACCTTGGTGTGTAATATTAATATACTAAATCAGGGTTACCTAAGTAACCCTTTATTTAAGTAAAGCACAATTGTTAAAATGTAACGTATATTTAACATATAATTTAGAATTATATAATAGCTTTAATAGAATGAAGGTTACCGATCCGGGTAGATTGACAAGCCGTGAGTGTGGATGGTGTATGGCTGCACGGATCGTTTGAGGAGTCTTCTGGTCGTCTGTCTGCTCCTGGTGTCGCACACACTCTCCTACACTACACGTAATCGTCATTGTTATATTCCTTAAACTGCTGCCTAAAAGTCTTAGGTCAGCTGTCGGCCCCGATTGCCATTCCTCACACTCAGCATTTTAAAACGTGTGCCCTACTTAAGGAATAATGTACGATGTCGATAGACGACAATCCTTACAACACTATACATTTTATGAATATGATGTTAATATTTTTTATATTACAAACTATAATAATCTATTGCAAGTTTCCTCACCACCTTAGCACATTTTGAAAATCGATTTTATATCAATCTTAATGTTGCATGAGGTATTGCATGTGGCGCGTTTTTTTTTATTGTGGTTTCCCCAAGTATAAACTTTAGGCCTAGTCCACACAGAAGATAATGAGAGAAACTGTCGCGATTAACAGTGTAATGCATATTTTCAGCTAAAATAATTATAACGGCTTTAGTAAAATTTTAATTTAATAAAATAATATTTCTTATGTGACAGAATATCTCTCATTACCGTCATTGACAATGCTGAATTCATGAAGTACATAATATTAAAGATGATTCAATAAAGGGTACTCTACAATTGTTAAATTGTTATAAGTATATTAACATTGTGAAATAATATCGTTTATATTGATATTTTTTGTTTATTGAATTCAACACTATACACATAAATCTGATAATAAATAAAATTCATACGTACTTATTAATATTATAAGTTATGAATTAAATAAGATTATTACAATTATTTCTGAAATTCTACTTACCCGTTTACTATCGTTTTATTTAAATAATCTAGTGATAGAAATAAAACAAATTTTTCCACGTTACATTCTTTCCATTATGCATCTATAATCTTACTTATCCTTTTTGAACACCGTAGCTATTGTGATGTGAGTACTAGATTTGTCATCGATTCACAAAATTAATATTATTTAATAAAATCATAATTTTACATACAATTTAAAAGTCTTGGGAGTTGTTGTATATTATATTATATTTAATCCTAATTCAGATTTTGATTTTCTCGCGATATAACTTTGCGTGCTTCTGGTAGTATAAAATCGGAAACTAATTTGTATTCAATATTTTTGTTACTCCTTGAAATTGATAATAAAATCAACCATATTTTTTAACAAAATAAATACTATTAAGTATAACAGTAAACATACTTGATATTATAAAACTTCTTTTTGCATGACTTCAGCATCGCTTTCAATGA